TCAGAGCTTGGAAGATCAGAAGAAAATGTTACTGACCTCAGTCGTAAATCATCATCTTCAAAAACAGCTTCTGTCTTATCTCCATCCATTTCTGTTCCCACGGCTTCTTCTCGTTCCAGGCGTGTGGCTGTAGTAAGGGGCTGGAAATCTGGAAACCTCCTGTCTGCCACCTCTTCGTTGGAAAGATCAATCAAATCATTTATGAAGAGTGGTCTTGGTTTCACTTTCCTTTTTTTTTTTTTTCTGTTTCGGCATCTCAGCAATATAATTAGCGTACCTCAGTAGCTAAAAACTAATTGCCTATGCGCTCTTATCAGAAGTAACAAAAACAAGGAAAAAGCCATAAATCAGACCATCCTCGTGCTATCAGAATGTCAGGGCATTTATTAATCCCATGTTTGGCTCTGGGACTAATTACCCTGGTTTGGAGGAGATGGATCGTGGTTTATTCCAAGTTGTAATAATCTGAAAAGAAAAGCGAGGAAGGTTTCTAATAAAACTCATTTATTTGTTATAAAGAAAATAAAACACCTCACTAACTAAGAAAAGTTAATTGTTACATTTTTGAAAATAATTCTTGCCGGCTATCTGAGCCGGACCTCTGGCAAGAGGACAAAAGAAAGAGTGTGAGAAGGAATGTGGGTGGATACGGAAACACGTAGCTTACTGATAAGAAGTTGGCAAAGCTACGGAGAGTCTGACAGTCCAGAAATGATGAGCTCAGCTGGTAAATAAAATAACGCAGTGACAAACATTAATAGAGGATTTGAACCCCAAAATCAAACACAGCCTTCATCTTTCTAGCAAGTGTATGACCCACTTCATCTATTCTTAGACACCAAATATTCCTGGTTGCAATGCTCCATCTACAAGATAAAGAAATTGTGGACTATCAAAGAAGTGTGTTGCATAACACAATCAGACAAATATTTTCAGGTCCTTTTACACGGCTAACATCCCTATGAATTTAGGCACTTGAATGAGAATTTATGGATTTAAGATGATTTAAAGCAATTAAAAGCTAGTGTGTTTATTAGCCCTTTTGACAAAAAGAGTCTTAATTGTAAGTGCTAGAACCATTAGGATATATCTTGGGTTTCTTTGGGGAGGTGGAGGAAATTTTTCTATCCTCATTTCTAGCTTGTTTTGTATTATATTAAAACAACATTTAACAATTATTTTAAACTGTACAAATTACACAGTCATTGATGATAACTGAAGTAATCCATCCATCCTCCTTTTTTTCAGAGAGTAAATTATGATTCTAATATACTTTGTTGATATTCTGACTTGGCAATGACCAAAATGCTTAGTTTGTACAACATGTTGGGCACATAGAAGACCCTATTAGGCAGACTGTGTTAACAGCTTCATCAAACCTGCCTGAAGAAACATAACCTACCACAATTCCTATTGTGCTTTAGTATGAAGTATGATTCCAGTCTAGAACTTGCATCAATGAATAGGTTAATGCCATGTTCATGCAACATATGTCATAGTTTGCATAACTGATTTACTCAAAATAAGTCAAATCTGTTGACTTTGGCAAGTCAAAAAAATGCCTTTATGACTTAGAGTGCTATATGGATGAGGCTTGTAGTTGTACGTATTTACAAATTAAATCAAGATTCAGGGGGTGACTTTCCCACAGTAGCCAAATTAAGATAGTTAATTCAGGACCCGGCCAAGCGAGGGCTGTCTACGGCACTGCCTAATGGGCCCGTGACCTCGTTGCTGCCCATCCGCCACAGAGAAAGGCTCTGGTTCTTTCTAACCAAGCACTTCATGTTAGTCTTTCCTTGCTTCTTTTCCTCCGGGGGTGGAGGGACCGGTCTCCACTTCTGCAGCTCCAGCTCCATCAGGCTCTTCTCTACCCACTCATTTTCTGCCAGGGCTGCCCCAATTGGCAAACTCTGTGCTGGGGCAACGGCGCCCATGCCCACAGAGAGGGCTCCAAGTGCCCCCTCTGGCACGTGTGCCATAGGTTTGCCACCACTGGTCTATATGATTTGCTTGGAAACATATGGAAATGGCCTTGTATTGCCAGTGCCACCTTCTATATGTTTTTAACTTCCCAGTCTCATTCAGCCTAGCCCTAGAAGTTTTTGATGGCCTCCCGTCCAACTGCTAACCCAGTGACTCTGCTTAGCCAGCACAGGAATGATCCCCTTTATGACTGAACTCTTTCTTCACTGAAAACAGAACTGCCAGTATGAGAATGCTATTACACAAACCCATGGTGAGGACATTTGTTATGAATCCATCTGGTGGTGATGCAATCTATCCCACTTTTTTTTAGCTTACCAAGAAGTAGGTTGTGATCTACTTTGTCTAATGCCTTGCTGAAGTCTAAGTATATTATGTCCACCAAATTTCTCTGGTCTACTAATTTAGTCACTATGTTGAAGAATGAAATGATTGGTTTGGCATGATCTGTTTTTAACAAACCATGCTGACTGCTAGTTATTACTTTACTCATTTCTGTTGGCAGATCTATTTTTTTATTATCTTATTATCTTTCCCAGTATCTTCACAAGTATTAATGTTAGGCTGATTGGTCTGTAATTTCCTGGGTCGGTTTTTTTTCCTTTTTTGAAGATGGGAACCATATCAGCTCCTCCATTGATTTTAAAGGTGGTGCAGAAAGAAATTGTTCAGTTTACTTTAAAATGGAGGTTTAACCTTTTTAAAATGGAAATAATTACAAATCAAATGCTCATATTTGTCAGTGAAAAGACCAAGAGCATACCTGAAAGATTTTACAATTGTCGATAAAATCCTACATAATGCAAACTATTTTATCAATCTAAGAATTTGTTATCACAAGCATCCTACAGCTACCTTTACATGTGTTATAGTTAATGAGCATAGATTGTAATATACTGCACTACAACAGGAAATTATAATATAGTGAAATGCTATGAGAATATTAAAGTCAAAGTTGCATTACAACTATACATCTAAATCTTTAGGAAGCAGCAAAACAGAATTTAGAATAAAGACTGTACAAAAATTAAAACCACAGTTTCAAGCAGCCTCCCAACTAAAGAGGTTAGATGTGGACTGTAATGCTTTGTCACTTCCCATATCCATCAGTTGCATTTATTACATTTCTCACTTTTTTTCTCTCTATTCCCAGCACAAATGTTGACTTCCTTTTCCTTTCTGGAGCTACTTCCTCTTCTACTGTAAGCTTCCTCTTTCAGGCTTAACCTGCTACATATCCTATGCCTCTTTGTGTCTCGGTCTTGCCTCAGGTCCAAGAAAGATTTCCCTGTGCCAACTCTATGGGGCAGTGCCCATCTCCGTTTCCTACCTAAGGGAGCCACTGTTATTCAAAGACGCTTCTGTGGTCATGAGGCCTGCATGACCAAACACTGAAGCACACAGAACACTGTTACCTTCCCACCAAAGTGGTACCTATTTATCTACTTACATTTGCATGCTTTTGCACTGATAGATTGGCAGGAACGGGAGCTCACCCCATCACACGGTACTTGGCTCTCAAACTGCCAACCTATTGGTTAACAAGCCCAGTGTTTTAACAGCAAGGCCACTATACCCTCAGGGTTCCCCAAAGTGTTCAGTATTAATTCCTGTAGGTGGATGGTATTGTCCAAGGGGTTGATGATAATAAGCAGTATTTAGTAAATTAAGGTAAAGGTAAAGGTTCCCTCGCACATATGTGCTAGTCGTTTCTGACTCTAGGGGGCAGTGCTCATCTCTGTTTCAAAACCAAAGAGCCAGCGCTGTTTCCGTCGTCATGTGGCCAGCATGACTAAACAGCAAAAGTGCACGGAACACTGTTACCTTCCCACCAAAGGAGGTCCCTATTTTTCTATTTGCATTTTTACATGCTTTCGAACTGCTAGGCTGGCAGAAGCTGGGACTGGAGCTCACCCCATTACGTGGCACTAGGGATTCGAACCGCTGAACTGCCGACCTTTCAATCGACAAGTTCAGCATCTTAGCCACTGACCCACCGCGTCCCTAAGATTTACTAAATTACTTTCACATAATGAAATCTGGGAATCGATGAATGATCAAACTTGAAGGGATCGATAAGGTGAAGGACATCTGCTCTAGTCAAATTATTGTTAAGCCTACAGAGCATAAAACGGTGCAGTAATTTGGATTAGATTCATAAAATATGCTTCAGAACTCATGGCAGCAGAAACACAGCACCTCTGCAATTGATTAAAGCAGCTATATCTCTCTCCAAGATCCCTCAGCAGTGGGGAAGCCTTGCTGCACTAGCCAGAGAGCTAGAAATAGGCACAATTACTTTGTGTAGTCAAGGGCAGATGCACAATGCTGGAAATCACTGCTCATGAATATTAAATACAGTACTGTACTTGCTCTTTTTTCCAATCTCATTCACAATGTCATTATTTGTTAACAATATCCTTCCTTTTGACCAATCAATCTCTTTTTTATAGAAACAAACTACTGCAAAAATCCAGAATAACACATTGCACATTTTCAAAAACCAGTCGGGAAATATTTGATCCTCCCAGGCCTATGGTTGCCGAAATTACATTTTGAGCAAAGATGTATAGCATTTACATTTTGTAAAATAGCATTATTATCCATATAAGGAAAATGGAAGCTGAAACAGCATACTTGCAAAGTCATGGGTAATTTGAGAGAAGGTCAGTTTTGTAAAGCTATCATTTTGGATTACTAATTATTTCTCAGTGCAATTCAATCAAGAACAATACCAAAGAATATTCCATATACTCCACTCAGTGTTGTAAAACATCCAGAATTCATTATTAGGTGTTTAAAAAACTATTACAAAGCAATACTGATTTTAGTCAAAATGTACATCATCTGAAAAAATATGAAGAGCAAAATATAACAACACTAAGAAGAGTCAGAAAGGAATCCAAATGTGATGTGAGTTAATAAACACCAGTTATGTGAGTAGACAGGTTATGTAAATCAAGGATTACCTGTATTAGGTCCAATAAATAAACTATGAGCATCAAGACTCAGAGTAGTAGCAATATATTTTAATCAGCCCTCATAATCACTGGATTTTTCTACTGAATCTTTGTAATCGTTTTCACTGTCATGCTCAGGAGTTTCTTGATCAGCATGATCTGACTGAGTGGCAGTATCTTCATCTTCATCTTCTTTCTCTTCCTCTTTCTCTTCTTCCTTCTCCTCCTCCTCCTCCCCGCTATGCTGAGCTGACTGGAATTGGGAATTATATTCTCCTTCAGATTCTCTTTTTTCTTCATGTTCATTATCACTGTGTCAAAGGGGGAAAACAATAGGTCCACTGAATAATAATGTATTGCTTTAGAAACACATTACATCAGAAAGTATCAGCAATAAGGTCCCCTTTTCAAACTCAGCAAATAGTTTTCATTGTTTCAGGGGCAAACCAGTAATTTAATTTTAAACTGCTGAATGTTATAAATTTGGTAGAAAAAGACAAAGTATTTAATATAAGTAAACAATTTATTACATTTTTATCGTGCTTTTCAATTTAAAAAAGGCTGTATAAGATAGACTTGACTTCAAGCTTATAAACTGGAATGAGATATATATGGGAAATGGGTCTTTCTCCAAATTTTTATTCTGTTCAGTTTAAAGAATACAATAAACTATTTTTCCAAATGTAAAAACGTATGTTCATATAAATAAGTAAATATAATACACAAAGAAAAGTGCAGTTATTCTTGGTGTTTTTATGTCCCTGAACAATTGTTGGCTAATTACCGTCCAGTCTCCAACCTTCGCTTCATTGCGAAGGTTGTTGAGAGTGTGGTAGCGCGACAGCTTCCTCAGTACTTGGATGAATCGGCTTATCTAGATCCGTTCCAGTCGGGCTTCAGGCCTGGATACAGCACGGAAACGGCATTGGTCGCATTGGTAGATGATCTCTGGAGGGCCCGGGACAGGGGTTGCTCCTCTATCCTGGTCCTATTAGACCTCTCAGCAGCTTTTGATACCATCGACCATGGTATCATGCTGCACCGGTTGGAAGAGTTAGGGGTGGGAGGCACCGTGTTGCGGTGGTTCTCCTCCTTTCTATCTGATCGGTCGCAGTCTGTGTTGACAGGGGGGCAGAGGTCGACCCCGAGGCCCCTTGTATGTGGGGTGCCACAGGGGTCGGTTCTCTCACCCCTTCTGTTCAACATTTATGTGAAGCCGCTGGGTGAGATCATCCGTGGTTTTGGGGTGAAGTATCATCAGTATGCTGATGATACTCAGCTATACATCTCCACCCCGGACCACCCCAATGGTGATGTGATGTCCCAGTGCCTGGAGGCTGTACGGATCTGGATGGGGAGGAACAGACTCAGGCTCAACCCATCCAAGACCGAGTGGCTGTGGTTTCCGACATCCCGATATAGTCAATTGGTGCCATCACTGACTATTGGGGATGAGTCATTGCCCCCCACGGAGAGGGTTCGCAACTTAGGCGTCCTCTTGGACTCACGGCTGTCTTTAGAAGAACACTTGACAGCTGTGGCCGGGAGGTCTTTTTATCAGGTTCGCCTGATTCGCCAGTTGCGTCCCTTTCTGGATCGGGACTCGTTAAAAACGGTCACTCATGCCCTCGTCACTTCACGCCTGGACTACTGTAATGCTCTCTACATGGGGCTCCCCTTGAAGAGCACCCGGAGGCTCCAGCTGGTCCAGAATGCGTCCGCGCGGGTAGTTATGGGAGCAGCATGGCGCTCCCATGTGGCTCCCCTCCTGCGCGAGCTGCACTAGCTCCCTGTGGTCTTCCGGGTGCGCTTCAAGGTCTTAGTTACCACCTTTAGAGCGCTCCATGGCTTAGGACCGGGGTACTTACGAGACCGCCTTCTGCCACCAATAGCCTCTCACCGCCCAGTACGCTCCCATAGAGAGGGGCTTCTCAGGGTGCCGTCAGCCAAACAATGTCGACTGGTGGCCCCCAGGGGGAGAGCCTTTTCTGTGAGGGCACCCACCATTTGGAACGAGCTCCCCCCAGAGATACAGAAGATTCCGGATCTGCGCACTTTCCGCCGTGCCCTCAAAACATTCCTGTTTCAGCAGGCCGGCCTGGCCTAACTTTCCCTTTATATTGCTTTTTGATTTTATTTTAAACTGGGATGTCTTGAATTATCTAGGACCAGAATGTTTAGTATATTTTAATTGGTTTTTTTATTATTAACGTTTGTATTACATGTATTTTTATCGTTCGCTGTTCACCGCCCTGAGTCCCTTAGGAATAGGGCGGTATATAAATTTAATAAATAAATAAATAAATAAATAAATAAATAAATAAACAAACAATCACCTATTAACCATGTCTAGCAAGGAAAGAAGAAATAAATATTGTACACCGGTGGTCTCCAACCTTTTTGGCTTTGTGGACCGCCAGTGGCAGTAGGGGAGGGAGGGGGAATGGTTCTGTGCAGCTCCATTTGCACAAGCAATGGGCTCGTGCACTCACACAAATGGAGCTGCGAACAGAAGCTGTGAGTACTTGCTGCGAGCACTCGCGCAGCCCAGTTCCAAATGGGTCACAGCCTGTTACTGGGCCACAGCCAGGGGGTTGGGGACCCCTGCTGTACACTAAAACATGGAGATCAAAACAAGATAACTCTTCAAGAACTGTTTATTGTTCCTGACAGATTATGCATTCTTCCTCTGAAAGGTCAGCTTTTCCTAACCACAACTAACTATATAGACATTTCATATTTAGTATATGTATATTAAGAAGCTCAAAAATAGTATAAGCTTCCAAGCTAAAATATCTACCTTTCTACATTTGCTGCCAAGCTTTCAAAGCTATTACTGTAGGAATTCTGCAAAAACTCTTCAGTAGCAGTTTGGCCTTTCTTTGAAATAAAGTCTTCACATAGTCCAAGCTCTCGCAGCAAATCAGAATAATGCTTCGATGCTGCTAGCCGTGCATTCTTCTACATTTAAAAATAAAACAAAATTAACACATCTGAAAGATATCTCCAAGTTTAAAGAAATCACTCTACAGTACATGTGTTCCTAAATGTCCTTTATTTTACAAGATAAAGGATTCCAAATCTGCAGATCACTTCTTTGAAATCTAAATAAATTGTTCAGACAGCAGACAGCTTTACATCGTGACATTTATAACTTCTCAATTACAGCCTTATACTGGCAAACATATTATATTTCCAGATTCCATGCTATCAGCTGCAAATGGCTTCTTCTGCCATCAATAGACAAGGAGAAAAATATCACCATTTAGTATTCTCTGTTCTCTGCATCATGATATATAATGGGTCAGGAATGTGGAAGCCAGGTTGAACCAATTGTATCGCTGGAAGCAACAGCATTGGTAAATCAAGTTAAGCCCAATGACATGGCAGGTGGCAATTACTAGCATTATCTTACCAACAATTATTAAACCCAACATACAAAGGAAAGGTAGCAACTTAATGAATAGACATATATAAAAAATATTAGAGATGTCAATAACCTGTGTGGCTTGTTCCAATAATAGAGGCCTCTTTTCCACCCTTTCTTCAATTTCTTCCAGTTCCTGCAGATATTCTTTCTTTCTCTGTTTTTCATGTTTCCTGTTTTTTTAATATACCATGACATGGAAATGGTATGGAATTTAAATATGAATCTTTTAGCAAAATAAAAATGGAAGGAGCAAGACTATATGGATCTGCCTACTACTACTAAACTAAGGATCCTGTATCTAAGGGGTCAGGAATCAGGGGATATATTGCAGAATACCTAAACAATTTTAACTTTGAGTTAAGCATCTTGGCTAGGCTCTGATGTGGATCATTTGCCTCAGCCCGAGTAGCTATAAGCCTTTGTAGCTTTCTTGCTCTCTCTTTTTGTTTTGCTTCTCTTCTTTTATGCTCTTCTTCAACCTTCTTTTTTTCCTCAGCCGATTTCCTGAATAAGAAAATAAACTTAAGTCTAGCTAATGCATAACAACTTTTATGGCCCTCTTTCTCAAAATACCTGTATGGGCAAGATATTTATATATTTATTATATATATATATATATTCCAAATCTCCACAGTTCATTCTTGTAGTATTTGGTACATGAACTTGAATCGGTTGTCAAATGAATTCTGTTGTGATTGGCAAATCTTTCAGCCCCATCAAATTTGGTCTAGGACAGAAATGTCAAACTCGTTTTCATTGACGGCCGCATCAGCATTACAGTTGCCCTCAAAGGGCCAATTGCATGTAAGATTACGTATCATATTAGTTCAGGAGTGCATTATGTCTAAGTCTGGGTATAAGGGGGCTGCAGGTCATGTGATGGGGTGGTGGTTAGTCTCTCCTAGCAGGTGGGTCATGTGATGGGATGGTATTCAGGTGGCTGATTGGCACTTCTTCCTCTCTCTCTCTTCTCTCTCTCTCTTGCACTGCCTGCTGGTTCTCCTTCCACAGCCTCTGCACCTTTGTTGGTTCCTCTGCTTGCCTCCCTTTCACTCCAACTCTTCTCTCCCTCAGGCTTGCCTCACAGAAGCCTCTCCTCCCTATTGCCTTCTGTCCCTTTCACTCCTCTCCCTTTCCCACCAAAACCCCCTCCTTTTATCTGCTCTCCTCTCTCCCCACCTCCATCTATTCATTAGAAACAAACTATCTGAAGAACTGGATCCACTTTGCTTCCTTGAATTCCCTCAGTTTCTTATAGATTTGCAATGGTTTTTAGCACCTTTTTCCTTATCTCAGTCTGCAGCTTTCCAAGGCTTGGATTTAAACAAAAACTATTTTCCGTTCAAAAGAGAAGCAGAGTTGACATGATTTCTATGACCTAATGCTGGTCACTCATCCTTGAGATAAAAGATGTACAGGAGATAGACATAGTGATAAGAGATAAAGATAGATACAAGATACACAGATATATAAGTTCAGATATTGATGTAGAATCTACATCTACATTGTAGATGATGTAAATGTAGATATACATGTAGATAACAATATATTCAAAATGTTTGCAGTCTGGCTGACATATAGACTAGGAGCTGATAGACTAGGATGAGAGGTTGGGAGTTTGAAGCATCAGTAAATGCAGACCAAGGTGGTTTCACAACAAGAGCCACTTGTCTTTTTCAACTCCAAGAACAACAGCAGAATAACACAAGTGGAACCCTCAAACACTAGAAAAAAATAGTGCATTCTTTCTTTAAAAACTCTCACATGGGATTTGTTTCACACTCAGAAACAGTCATAATGGCAGGTTGGAACATCCTTGACATGGAAACATTTTCCCATACTTCTCTAAAACAGGTATTTGCATTTTCAACATCTGCATGTTTTACTTACCACAAAGAATTTGGAATTAAATACACAGCACATTAAAAGCTTACCTGATGGCTTCTAGCCGTTTTCTTGTAGATGCTGTAATTCTTGGAGATGGAGACAGCACACAGCCTGAAGGATATGAACTTGCATTCAATGTTCGAGGGGGACATCTTATAGAGACATAAGGCCAGCGTGTTTCTTTTAATGTTGCTTCATCCATGTCGATGTCCTCAAGAATCTTCTCTTTATTGGATGAAATATTTGGTGTATGGAGTTTGAAGGGCTCACTGATTGTGACACTTTTCACATTCTTATGTGTTTGAAGCTGTTTCTGAAATTTTTTATGTAATGTTTCAAAATCAGGGACTTTAACTTTGGTATTTGACTTATATATTGATTCTTCACTTTGTTCAAAGCAGTTTTGCTGCCTAGGCCTAATGGTGCCTTTATTTCCTAATCTGCTATTGGGAAGTGATGAATTACGTAGGAGCTCTTCAGACCTAGCTTGAATTCTAATGTCTCTATAGAGTTCTTCTTCCTTTAATTTCTCCCTCATTTCTGAACTGGAAACAAATTTAGGAACTGGTTTAGCTTTAAACATTTTTGCTTTTTTTTCTGGTGAGGAAAATTGCATTTTTCTCAGTTCTTTCTTTTGTGCTTCTCTTTCAATAAACTGAAATGGCTTTTGTGTAGCTAGAAGAAAATTTCCCCTCGTTTCTCTAAATGATTTTCTGCGTTCTTCATTTTCCTGCATTATTTCATGATAAAGAGGGACAAAAACATGTGCAGGTACCGGATTGGCTCGAAATTGTTTTTGACATTCTGCCTCCTCCTCTAATTGTTTCTTCAGCAAGTTATTTTCCAGCTCCATGAGTGACTTGGACTTGATATTCTGTTGCTTCCTCTTAGCTTCTCTAATAGTCATCTGGAAAGGTTCTGGTACTGTGATCTTTGGGAACCATTTTTTCTTTTTCTTGCTTAGCTTCAAAACATTTAATTTGGGTAAAACAGTTTTAGGGCAGAGTGAATAATCCTCCAAAAAACAGCCATCCCATGCATTTTCAGTCTTGTCCAGTGTTAGTGATCCAACATCACTGTCACTTGTTTCTAGCTCTAGTTGTTCATCAGTCACATCAGAGAAATTTAAGGAATGGAACGAACTGTTCAGATCAGATGCAGAAAATGATTTATGCATGTTCTGAAGTTGAAATGGTTTAGTTTCCCATGCTGATCTAAACATAACAAAAATGTAATGCTTAGTTGTCTAGAAGTGACACAAATTAACCTGATTTAGTTATAGTTGTGGAACCTCTTGCAAATTGAATAAAAGAGAATGTATAAAACAATTATTTGTTTATGAATATATTAAACTTTAGATTAAAAGAATACCAATTCTAAATAATATTAAATTGGTTTCTGAATCACGTACTCCTTTCTCCATATTTTTTTAGACTACATATATGCACACTGTCAGGCTATAATTAACAATTATAGTTCCAATAAAATTCATTAATCCAACTGACAAAATGTAAACCTGGAAATATAAAAATCACAAACAAAATAAAAAGAAGTTACAGTAATACAACTCTTTTAAGGAATGTTTGGATTGTTTTGGACTTTTAAAGAAAGAACAGAAACTCCCAAAATGAAAACTAATAAACATTCATATAATCAGGCATGACATCTATTCTTAGATATTTTTTATAGATTTTGATTGGCCACGGTAAGATACGGGATGCTGATCATGATGAGCCTTTAATCTGATCTTTCTGGACACCTCTTACTCTCTTAATATTTACACTTTATTGTTGCTAATATGTATAAGTCAAAACCAATGCTAAGACAATACTTAATTGGGGTTACAATTTCTTTTATACCTATGATGAAGAACCAGTTTTTAGTTATGTTTTCATATTTTATATTAATTTTTAATACCAGTCAAAGTCACAGCCAATATTATGTTTAATCACATTTCAAAACAAAAATGGGGGAGAAAATATAAGCAGTCTGATGCCCTCTTCTGTTTTTCTTTAGAATTGGTCAAGCAATCAGTGTTGTTAAACCTTTATTAACCTATAAAGCCTGAAAAACACAAATAATTATCTCTCACTGATGCATTTTACTCTTGCTTACCTAACCAAATCACACTGAGTTAGTTAAAGGTTAAATGTCTTTTAGAAACTCTGAAATCCTTATACATATTTTCCAATTTTGCTATGGTTTTCAGGTGAGAATCTTAAATTCTTCCAGACTATTAAATAATATTCCTGATTCGAGAAGTACATTTCCTGCTGGACAAGCTTTCTGGAAAGTTATAGAAAAGCATGAGAAGAAATTGTTACCTCTTAATCAATTTCCTAAATCAAGGCTTCAAACTCATGGCCCAGGGGTCAGATGTGTCACACACTGACCACACCCACACCTGGTTTAGCGAAGGGGAAAAAAGTCATGATATGTCATGTAACGCCGTTGTGACGATGCGAGTTTGACACTCCTGTCCTAAATCAAGGATCCATCCCACTATAAATTGTAAGAGTGTAATTCTGGCTTTCACAACTGTGTGTTTCACAATTAATGACACTTTAAAGCAAGCACTAGTTATTAAAAGCAAAACGATTAGAAAATTTAGAAAAATGAATGACCTACTAATTTTAAAAAAACACAAGAAACAAATACTTTCAATCTTTCTTCTGGGTTCTTTTTTCCCCCTGTACCTGTGTATAGCTCAGGCTAAGATCATTGTCTACAAGAGCTAAGGATTCTTTTTAGTTTTGTTTTTCATCAGACGTTTTTATATTCCTTTTATGTATTTAACATATTTAATAACAATATTTTGTTACAATGATCAATATATTTAATATATACAATAACAATTTTGAGACAAAAGATAATTAATAAATTTAGATTATTGTAAAAATTACCTGTAAGTCTTACAATAAATCATGTCTGTGTTAGTTAAAGGTTGAACATCTTTTAGAAACAGCTTATTCTGATACATTTCTTCCAATTTTGCCATGGTTTCCAGGTGAGCATTCTTAAGTTCTTCCAGCTTTAAATAATATTCCTGATTTGAGAGGTACATGTTTGAGAGATCTAGCCAATCTTTACAATCAGCACACATGATGGAACCGTATTCTCCCCCTGGACTTAAGGATTCCTAAAATAAAAGATGATCATGTTTTACTTCTCTTTGGGAAAAAGATATTTATTAAATTACTGGCAACTTAATAAGTTTGGGTTCTAAAGGCAGTTAAGAAACTTCTCTATTTGCTTGGATTTGCAGAGTAAAAGGTCCTGGTGTTGATTAACCCAAATTGCTAACTTGACAAAGCCTAAAATCAATAGATAATTCTGGATGGCAAATGATTCAAAATTTCCTACAAGTTAATACAGAGAATCTCCTATATCATATATAAACATCTAAAACATGAAGCTCTTCCCTATGCCCAAGGCAAATGCAGGCGAATTTTGGAATAGGTTTCTAATGCATCAATGAGATAGGGTTTTTTTTTTTTTAATTAAAAGGGATTTAACATAACAGTTAACATAATCACTTAAATCTTGAAATTGTATTCAGTGCTGTTAACCACTGCAAATGGCGCAAAGGCATTTTCGTTAAGAAAATTTGGATGGCAAAGAAAAAAATTCAGGGATCTTGGAGGTGAGGAAAAGAGGAAAGAAATATTTTCTTTCTAAGGAGGTTTGGCTTAATAAGGCTAGAATCAGTCACATCTAAATGGATAAGATGAGAATCCCATGTAGGGATTCTTATTTTATCCATTCTTTTTTTTAAAAAAAATTATTGAAATTTATTATAATACAATACAGTATAATCAGTCAGAAGTGTTATTTTTCTACATAGGTTAGATTGATTCTTCTTTTACTTTTCATCATAATTTACATACGCATCTTAAAATTTATATTAACTTTTATCTATTCTTTATTCTATTATCAATCCACCTGTACCAGGTGTATTTTATCCATTCTTATCCCTACACACGATTCAATTAAAATTGAATGTGGGGTAAAATTAGGATTGGGCAAGGTTCCTTAAAGGAAGGGTAGGCTACAGCTAAAGAGGACGACCAGCACCAAGGTGGATGCATTCAATTACAATAGCACTGAAGGCATCTTTGGAATTGCTGAAGGGCCACCTTAGGGGCCGTTCAGCAGAAAACCTACCTATGTGGTCACTAAGAGCGACTTGATGGCACCTAATCGTCATAATTAAGCTATTGTCACGTGATGGCTGACGCTACTTTTTATCCCAGGGGTCCTCAAACTTGACAGCTTTAAGACTTGTGGACTTCAACTCCCAGAATTCTCCAGCCAGCTATGCTGGCTGGAGAATTCTGGGAGTTGAAGTCCACAAGTCTTAAAGCTGTCAAGTTTGAGGACCCCTGTTCTATCCGGATGGGGGAATGACCGAACGAGCCAAGGCGCCGGGGGGGGGGAGTGGATTTGAACCCCTCCCGAAGCCATTTCTGCAGAAATCCGGTCTCTCAGTTGCACGCTCCAGCCACCAGGGAGCAGCAGCAGGAGCAGCCACTAGGAGGCGGCGGCGTAGACAGACAGCCAGACAGCCACCTACCTTCCCCACGCCATTTTCAAGCGAGTCTCTTTCTGGTACCCGTTCATAAAGCGCCGCCGGCGCCTTGGTGCGCGGGTTCACCGGCGTATGCAGGCAGGAGGCGGTGAGCAAAGCAGCTCGGTGAGATGCGTCCATGGGCTTCTCAAAGGACGGGAGGCCACAGCCAGCCTCCTGCTAGACTGGTTACCAAGCCCCTTCCCTGCGTGTTTGGTTGCTACGGTTACTAGGCTTAGAGTCTTGAGACGCTACGAAAGAGGTGGGGAACGATGGCCCTTTTATGACTTGTGCACATTCTGGCTCAGGAATTCTGGGAGTTGAAGTCCACAAGTCATGAAAGGGCCCTCGCCCCCCCCCCACTGCGCTACGGCATCTCGAAGAGGACATTAGCCTCCCTCTCGTGTACAGAGAAGCGTCTTCCCTGTGCAATGTTTCCTGGAATTCTTCCATCTGTTCTGAAGCCCCTCCTGTCTTTTCCCACGTTAGAGGTATCGGGGGAAGAATTTCCGAAGACAATGGGAAAATCTAGAACCGTAACCAAGCAGTATTTTAATGGCACCAAGTTATCAGCTCACATCAAAAGATGACTTTTTAAAAATTGGCTATTGTGTAGGATCACTCGTGAATTTTTAGAAAAATTAGAAAACGTAATCAAGCGTCATTTTCACATTATATACTAGAGATCTTAGCTCTAAATCAAGGCAAGGTTCTTAGCCTGGTGTGCCTTTTGCCAAAATAGGATCCAAACCAGATAGATAAATATTTTTATTTATTTATTCTGGACCATATTTTTACAATGTCAAGATTAAAATCACCTCATACTAAAATTCCCATTTTATAAAAAGGAGCTGTAGTATATAAAAGTGGTTTATTTTTATTTTTTAAATTTCATTAATTTTCCATTATCTACACTTAATAAACATCCTGCTGTCTGGATACCCAACCTGCTCAACAATACAGACTACACTCTCTCTCCATTCCCTCTTTCCAACCACTGGTAAAATAAGTTCCATGTTTGATAATATTGTGTCTTAATTTTCAATGTAAGTCTATCAATTTCTGCACAGTGAAGTATCTTCCTAATTATCTCTTCATCTCATGGCATTTCATCATTTTTCCAATATTGTGTGAATATAATAGCTGCTATTAAAACATGCAATATTAAATACATACTTTGCTTATCAAATTTTTCTGGTATTATGCCTAAAAAAAACAAGTTCAGGTTTAATATCTATGTTTCCCTATCATCTTTTCTATGCACCTATATATTTTTGCTCGAAATGTTCTTGCTTTTACACAAGTCCACCACATATGATAAAATGTCTCAATTTTTAAAATTACCTACATTTCCAACATTTGCTAGACATATTTTCAAACATTTGAACTAATCTAGCAGGTGGTTAATGCCATCTATAAATTTTATATAAATTTTCTTTATAAGAAGTTGCCATTAATTTAGTTCCTTTCATATACGTTTTGCCATTTCTCTAATTCTGTTATAGCCAGTTTTTTTCCTTATTGTCTTTTACTTGTTCGTCCTCCATTTTCCAGTTTAGTATGAAATTATAGATCTGAGTTCTTCATCAGAGTTCAGCAGTATCTGATCAAAGGGTGTTTGTCATTTATAGAAGCCATACTTTTTCATATCTTTTTCATATTTAAGATTGTATTTGCAATTGAGGCCACAAGATAGTATAATACCCTTGTCTTCAAGCTCTTGTTTAGATTTTAATTTCCCTTCAATGTCCAAGATGTCTATATGTCAGTTTCACCAAAACTTCACCAGATTTGGGTATGTAAAGGCTTCCATTGTTGAGACTCGTTCTGGGATTTTCAAATATATCTTAGGTTTTATTTTTTCCTATACAAATAGCTTCTTATGTAGTGATTTTGAAAGTATCTGTGAATTTTATTCTTCTCATACCATAAAAAGGAGTGCCATCCCAGTTATAAATCAAATCCTTCTAATATAGCAGTCTCTTGTGCCTGAGGGTTATCCATTCTTTTAGCCATGTTATCACACATGCTTGGTAGTATAGGTTGCTATTAAAAATCAGGTAGTAAAATGTTTAATTATTTTAGAAAGTTCCCTTTATTTATGAACTCATTCTGTTTTAAAATTCTACAAACCATATTTTCTCAATAGTACTTATCCTGATTCAATCCAAAGGATAAACCAAAAGCAGAATACTGTTCAAACTAAATTATATGAGCCCTACTGAAGGCTAGTATCTCACAAGGTTTTCAGTCCAACACTTCAGTAATCAATGTAACAGTACATAATCTCCTAAACAGCTTTATTCAAGAACTTAATTGGTAAAACCACTTAAAAGGCCAGAGAAGCTCACGTTTCCACAAGCAGCAATGTGGACAGTAAATTCTGATACCAAAATGATACACAGGCAATGACATCACACAAATTAAATTATTTTCTCGTGTCCTGATGTCAGAATAAAAGACGTATTGGTTTCATGTCACATGTATGATGATTTGCACCCATTCTCCCTGCTCGCACATGTTTGGGAAATTTCTCTTGCATTAAAAAAAAACACTAACAGATAAAAGAATAAAACGCTGTCTGAAATGCATGTTAAAAGACAAAATCCTTGCCGATTTAAATTGAAACGCACATATTGAATTCAGTTTTTAAAAGGGCCACAATCCTGCCAATTTAAGCAGTTTTTACCTCTGTAAGCTTAACGACTGAAGAATTTAAACAAAGTCTCTCTTTTGAAATTGAGGTTTTATTAATTTAAGATTGACAGAACATGAACACAACCGCAAGTTAAGTAGGTGTCTAATGCAGTGCCTCTATAAAGGAGCCAAGTTCCAAACTTAGGATAGTGTACTAGTTAAGAGTACTGCCTCTTCCTTTAGTCATTTCATCGAGTGTTCACCTGTTAAAAAAAAAAAAAGACATAAGATATTATAGGAATAGCAGTACATAATTTGTCAAGCTTTATTCTCCATAATATAGTATTTTAAATTTTCAAACACTACCGCACATGCCTTATTATCCACATAAGATAACCATAACTATAATTACAAAATAATTCTTACCCAACATATTATGGTAAGAACTATCATTTTGATTTTAATTAAAATTGATAAAAATTAAACAAAAATTAAACAAAAAGGACATTAGAGCAATTGAAAGAACATTAAATAGCTTACCACATCATCAATCTTAAGAATGCTGCGAACTGTTTCTGTAGCTAGAGTGAGAGCACTGATCGACACTAATAAAGGCTGAACCACCAGCTCTTCCAAGATATTTGAAATTCCACCCTACAATTTAAAAATCACAATATCAAAGTACTAACAATTATCAGCAAACATATTAAAAATGATATCATGTATTTCTAAGAGCTTTTTCAAATATCTACACTAAAAGATACTCATCCAGTATGTAACATTTTCTCAATATCTGTACCTATCAGCAAAATTAAAACATTTTTAAATACACAAACACATATACTATGCAAAAATACCCAGTCTGATTCTGCTTATCCAGCAAAGGATTGACCCATTTATGACTGAACTTTTCTTCACTGAAAACAGGACTGCTAATATGAAATTGCTGTTACACAAATCAAAGGTGAAGATAACCTTAAAATAGTGGCTATAATTCTTACTATAAAAGGGATATTACAGAGCTAAAAAAATACAAAAAGTGGCAGCCAAAGCTCCTAAGAGGTAGATGAGGTGTCTCTCTGTTATATATGTATATGTGTGCATGTATACATATACATATATATGAAGTACTGCTATATTAAACACCAAGCAACTGTTTTCTTTTTAATGATGCTAACATCATTAGAAATTACATATTAAATCTGTGAGAGATGGGAGTTTTACAACTATGGCAACTGTTCTGACAACTTTTTCCCATATAGGAAAAATAGAGAACTAACATAATATGAACCTTAATTATAGTGATGATTAGCAGTTTTGTTTAAATAAATACAAAGAGAAAGTACAAACCAAATAGGAACAGTTTCCCTGAGTCTTTTTGCAGGAGATAAAAGCTTATTAGACCTATTTTATTGCCAACAAAGTAGAATGAAAAATCACGTAAACTTTATTAAATTATGCAAACCAGATCAACAAGGCTACATAGAGGTCAACACTTCCTCACTTTTATTTTATTAACATAATTTAAAACATTTAAGAAAGCTATTTTTTGTTGATATATACCAATTACTCACTCTATATGAGTGCCATTTTTACTGACATATCTAAAACCATAGAAGGAAGTATTAGATGTAGGGCTATTTAGCAAAATTTCAGGAGACAGCTCCCAACCAGCTTTGCCAATGCTCAGAAGCTCTGCTACTTCTGATGGTGTGGGAGGGGTGGGCCAATTCCTTTGGGGTGAGGCGGTTGCTCAGATAATCTAGACCCATGTCATAATGGGCTTTAAGGTGATAACCAACACCCTGAATTGAACCTGAAAGCATACTTATACTATATGTTTTAATTAGATCACTAGTGAAGGGACTTGTTGTGGCCCACCAGCAGCCTGCGTGGATCATGGCTGATCCCGCCGAGGCTGGTGTGGTGTCGTGCCAGCAGCCGGCATAGCCGGCACTCGCGTCGGACAGCGAGGAGGCTGAAAAGGATGTGGTGCCAGAGGCAGAGACTCAGCCAGGGCCTTCAGAACCTCCAGAGGCTCCTTCAAGTGGAGATAGCGAAGTGGAGGAGCCTCTTCTCAATGCTCAAGCATGCAGGGCTGCCAAAAGGCAGGAGTGGTTACTCAGGAGGAGGAGGTCTCCTCGAGAGTAAGGCTTGAGGATAATTGGCCACTCCCTTAGCCTATTTAAGTCACACGCAGTTAGTAAGTTTCTTGCTGGAAACAACTTGTAATTATCATCAGAGCATTTTTGGACAAGTCTTATCGTATTTTGTTTTCTGGGCTGGTTGCCAACCTTTGCTGGACTTTGGTTTATTCTTGCTACTTAATAAATTTGATAAGGACCGTTGGTGTGTGTCAATATCCTCGGAAATCCAGAGCTGGGGCAGAACAGGACTAATGAAGATATGTTAAAAAAATTCCCCTCCCCGTTTTCCTTTCTCATTCAATTATGCACAATTCAATATTTCTTTTCTAATGAAATACTCCTTCTCAAAATAAGGCCTCTTTAATGAAGAGAAATTTAATTCATAGGAGGAATTAAGTGTGGATGTTCTAATATATGGTGTATTAACACCGCACACACTTGACTAGCTATTGGAGAGTGACTAAGACCCAACCTCTTTCCCTACCTTCCAAATTATAAGCAAGCACAACTCCAACTTCTCCCCCATCAAGTTTGATATCACTGATTTACATTGGTCAGATAGGTTTGAAGCCACACATAGCAGCATCAGAAACAATTTCGGATGGCCAATGGGACAGACATAAGAAAACAACTATCTGCCTGAATAGCAACTATTGTTAAACAGCAGAATGAAGTCCATAAGTGATATTGAAATTTTGCCATCCTTGTACCTTCATACACTTTATTTTCGTATATGAAACGTGCAAGTTGCATTACAGATCAAGTTACAATGCTCTGACTTCCACAGCGTCAAGGGCAAAAATAACTTTCTTTGTTGAAATGCTAATTGAAACAACTGTATGTATATTAGAAAGAAGCATCAGGACAAAAGCCATGCATTTAAGTTGCTATTATGCTGTTTGTGGGACTGTTGAAGTGAATTGTTATTTAGCTGCCCACTTTAGTCACAATTTCCATTATGGGAATTTGAAAAATACTTCAATTATATTGCCACTTGCTAAAATGTCCAATATTCTAAGATAAGAGCAAAAAAGGATTTTGTTTAACATTTCTAAATTGGGTCACCCAAACCAACACAATGTAACTTCAAACCTAATGCATTTCTCTGCATTTGCTGCAATTTATATTGTAATTTCAAGATGAGCAATCCTCTGAGTTATGCATAATGCAAAAAACATGAAAAATAGTACTAGTGAACTCCAAAAACGCAGAATTTTACAAATGTCAAATAATATGTGGTACATCATTTGTTTTATTAGTTTGCAGATTACCTTTCTGACATTGATGCCAGCAGTTTTCTCTCCTTGTGCATGTCTGTTTCTCAACTCTGTAACAGTGGATATCGGATTAAGGCCTGCATTTTCAGCCAGGGTAGATGGAATAATTTCTAGAGCCTCTCCATAACCACGAACACAGTAAGATTCCATGCCACTTAAAATACGAGAATATTCATTCAAGCGTAATGCCAACTCTATTTCTGGTGCTCCACCACCTGCAATTAGGGCTCTGAAATTAAAATTAAAATGCAGTTTAAAGTGTAGTTTTTGCTAACTTGAATGATGATTTTATTGGTCCAAAAAGATGATGCAGTACCTTTTCTTGACCAAACAACGGACAACACACAAAGCATCATGGATGGAACGCTCAGCCTCTTCAATCACCAGTTTATTAGACCCTCGTACCACAATTGTTACTGTTTTTCCAGGACTAGCACAGCCTGTAACCTGAAATACAAAACAGGCACTATACTGAATATTCAGATAAGAAAACTTACTGCTTTTGGGGGGAAGATTTGGTTTTGGGATCAGATTTTCGAACTATGAAAGCACTGATAACAACAAAATGACAGTCTTAGTTTCCTTTTCAAGAGTTTTCCTTTAGTTCTTAGCAAGGAAGGCGTTTTTTTCTTGTTATCCTAAAGAATCCATTCAAACCAAGTTTGAAAAATTTGCTTTAACTTCAGAACAAAGTAGACTAGACTTATCCTACCTTAACTAGCTTTCCAGATCCATTTAAATTAACTTCTTCTGCAAGTTCGGCAGATCCCAGCATGTCACCAGTGAACTGATCAATATGAGCAACTGGCTTAGTTCCAATAGTCTTTTTAAAAAATAAAAATACATAAACACAATTTAGGTTAGATATGTAATATTTTTCAGAATGTTCTATAGTGCACAAGCAATTGGAAATCAAAAAGCAGGTAAACTTCCCAAGCAGATGTCAAATCTACTTTCAGGTTTGAACAAAAACAGTAATACAGCTCCATGAACATAGCTTCCCCATGCCCAAATAATCGTAAGCATACATCTTTGCTTACTTGCTCATAACAGGAAGAGAGGCAAATATACCCTTACGTGCAGAAGCAGCCTCTGCTTACCTCCAGAGACATGATTTTTGCTCAAAGAAGAGAGATCTTCTCCAAGAGGAATGCAAAACAGTAGCTATTTCATTCCTTTAAAAACGGAGACAAACTGCAAGACTGAGGGAGTGAGAAAACCACTTATTCATTTACCTACCCACCACTGCCACTTTGTCCTCAATGAAACACATATGCTGGCCATATATGGGACCTTATCCACATGTGTACTATTTTAAAGTTCTCAGTGGTGAGTCAAATCTATCAGATGCATCATAGAGGTGAATAAAATAGTGCAAAGAAGCATTATAGTGGCAGAAACTTCAGAGTTACAGTGTCTGGGCTGATTATGCATCTCCCAAAGTAGCTTCTGGCTCATTCAGTTTGCTTAAAACTAGGCAACTAAGAAAATGCATTAAGGTGGAAAATATATGCATTTGTAACCTCAACTGGCTGTGTGACAGCACAACTGAGGCGGCAGAGTGGGAACAATCTTACAAGCACATGAGTAATTTTATATATGTGCACTGAAAATGCTGTATCACTGAACCTCAATCTATTTGTTTGGAAATAAGACCCATTAAATTAATGACAGCTTTTTAGAAAATAGAGATAGCTATTTATAATCTGCTTTTTATTATAGCATTACAAATGTCAAAACAGATTCATTCACTGTTACAATCAATTTCAATTCATGATTACTCATGATACTGTCAAGATTATTATATTCCATGACTTAAGAATTCATTCATTTCAAGAACTCTCTATTTATCTTACCTTACATATAAATTCAATGTCTTCTCTTTCAATATCTTTGATCACCATAATCTTCATTTTGTTCAGGAAATGTAGAGCCAGATCACTTAGAGCATCCCTACAACCAATACATTTGATGTGGTTTATTAATATATATCATCACAGCATAGCATTATCAGAACTATTCTGATCTGGCATAGAATAATTTCAAAACTTTAGAACATAATTTTGTTTTTTTCCTACTCTAATAAGATGATATCAAATATGGGTTTCAAATATTTCCCAAGCCTTCTAGAACCATGAAAGCAATGCTTATGGCTCCCCTATCTCAAGTCGTAGCACATTACTAAGTACTGGGAATTATAGTCCTTCCACTACTATATACTTGATGAACGTATCTTTTCTTTTATTACACTGAGAGCATATGCACCAAGACAAATTCCTTGTGTGTCCAATCACGCTTGGCCAATAAAACATTCTATTCTATTCTATTGCTAAAAAATTCTCATTTCCATTGTTTTTAGCTTACAGCTTTAACAGTATGCAAACTCCAGAGAGGTGCATACGACATACCATATGTTAATTTTAAATCTAAGAAAAAGCTCTAGTTGAAGATGAAATATGAACTGTTGAAATAAACATACCTTAAAATGGATTTCTGAATGAGTAGTACATTGCAACCCGTCTTCTTAATTTGCTTAACTAAATTTAGAATGTAGGCTCTCTCTTCACGCAATACTCTATCCATTTGAGTGTAGTCAGAAACAACAATCTGGTTATCCATCTAGTACAAAAATTAAAAAAGTATTTTAAGTATACTTGTACATAGTAGACAATTTAATAGCTTTGCAACAAGTCAATCAAATGAACAGCCAAAATACAGGTTTTGCAAAGTACTAAATTACAGCTGACATTTTAATTTTTTAGGCACAAAAATATCCATTTATAGGCATTAGTTCTTGACAGTTTGCTTCATTTCTATGTAACACTGCATTAGGGTGCCTTGAGTGCAGTAGTGGGTTTCAAACCCCGTTGCTACCAGTTTGCTCATGGGCGGGGGGCGCGACGCTTCTTCACATGCAGAGATATATCCAGGCAGGTGGGCAGAGCCTCCCACTGCCACCACTACCGGTTCGCCCAAGCCGGGGCAAACCGGTAGCAACCCACCACTGCTTGAGCAGTTTCCAAAAACAATTCTTTTAGTGGATGGATAAACAGTGATTTTCATCAATAAAATACAGTTAACAGACTGAATTCTAACTTACAATTTCTGTCAATTGCCTGTCCCCAGAAATCTACTGTAGTTATGGATAGTTGCAGAAAAGAATGCTTTAGATGTATGAGACAATGCCAACTTGCATAATACTGCATTTAGTCTTATGTTAAGAGGATTGCTCAAAATAAATTGGATATATCTTGCTTTGTGAACCTCATGTATTCTTTAATGAGTGCAGAAAGTCAATCTGCAATACAATCTTACATGCTGTTTAATTTTTACAATCAAATACAAGATCAATATTTTAAGAAACATCTTTAAAAAAAGTTACGAGGTCTTGACTTACAACCATAATTGAGCCCAAAATTTCTATTGCTGAGACAGTTCTTAAGTGAATTTTGCCCCCTTTTACGATCTTTCTTGCCACAGTTGAATCACTGCAATTGTTAAGTTAGTAATACAGTTGTTGAGTGAATCTGGCTTCCCCATTGACTTTGCTGGTCAGAAAGTTGCCGAAGGTGATCACATGACCCTGGAACACTGCAACCATGCCAGTTGCCAAGCATCTCAATTTCGATCACATGACCATGGGGATGATACAATGTGATAAGCCTCTTTTTCCAGTGTCATTGTAACTTTGAACAGTCATTAAACAAATGGTTGAAGTCGAGGGCTACCTGGATGCTTAATAATGAATAGAATGAAAGGACAATGCTTTTTGAGCCACAAAATATGAAGGAAGTGGTTGAAAATAAAAAGGGGCTTTGCTTGTCAGAAGGTTGCAGAAGGTGATTACATCACCCAAGGACACTGCAACTGTCATAAATATGAATCAGTTGCCAAGCATCTGAATTTTGATCATGTGACCATAGAGATGCTGCAATGGTCATTAAGCATGAAAAATGGTCTTAGTCACTTTTTTCAGTGCTGTTGTAACTCTGAATGGTCACTAAATGAACTATTTTAAGTCGAGGACTCTCTATAATTTATTCAAAAGAACAAATTAAACAACTTACATCTGTTTTTGGAGCAGATAAGCAAAACTGAATGAGACCTATTTTAGCTTTCTCCACTCTGGTCACTCCAGTATTGGCCAATTTTTGTGTAAGCACCAGCCCTTCAACGAGTTCACAGTCATCAATTGTGCCCCTAAAAATAAATACTTAGTGAACAAGCAATACTAAATAAAGATACAAATAAAAATTCAGAATTTGACTAACTCTTACCCAAGTTTTTTAACAATTTTAATGTCTCTAAGATCCACGCTGCTAGCTGTAATTGGATCTATCACCTTCATCACAGCTTCAACACTCATTGGCGAAAGGAGACTAGAATACTGCGATACAACCTGAAGGATCAGTAAAGATTTACTTAACATGCCTTTTGTTTGTCCATTGTAGAAGAATTTCACACAACTTTACTTTTTTAATTATTCAAAACTGAAACAGGAATTAATTTCTCCAATTGTTTTAATAATGTAAATGATGTAAATAGAATCTAAGCCACTTGACTCTCACAATAGGTCTCCTGAAGTAAGCCTAGTGAAGCTTAATGTTCAAGACTGATGGTAAATAGCTGAACTCCAAGAGGACAGCTGCAAAGTTCCTTTCCTACAATACTCATTATGGTGTATGGTTCTTCTTCTTTCATGTATGAAATGGCAACAGCATCTCCAAATGAATATATTTTGTCTGGACAAAGGAACCAGAACAAGACAAAAGACTTCTATGTTTAATCACTTTGTTTTTTAATCAGAAAAACATTCTGGTAGGAATACTAGATAGAACAGGTAGGCAGGCAAGGAGAGGGGGGAACAGCCAACATTCTAATGAGATTATATTGGTGGACAAAGAGGAAACATCTTTCTCATTCATTTCTTTAGTGCTTGTGCCATGATTTCTAGAGACTCTCGTAACTGCATTTTAGTTATAAGTGCTATATGTTGTGCAAATTTTACACACAGGATGACTTCATTAAATTTAATCAAGTCACCAAATGAATGACAAGGTTTTTGTACCTCAAATAATTGTAAAAAATGTTGATAGGTACATTTTGATGAAGTCATTATGGAAATTAAGTTATTAACATTATAAGAATTATATCACTAGCATTCAATAGGGAATGATGCTGAGGGTTGGGATGATCATAATCGATTTGAAACTAAATATACCCTGTGCACTCTTAAACATTACTGACGCCTAACTAAAAGTACCAATCTGCAAACTGTTTTAGACTGTTATTAATCTTATACATATAAACTGTACATAAAAGGCAAATTATATATACTCCAAATAAACAAAAATAAAAACTTATCAAGTGTTTTCTTTCCAATACCCACCTTAGAATTCAATGCCGTAGTTGCACTGTTAAGGAGGGTTTCTCTGTCACTCAGTTCAACAGGCTGTCCCATGCTGGTCAAGACTTCAATGCCTTTTTCCAATGCCTTCTGGAATGATTCCGAAATGATGGTGGGATGAATTCCTAATCAGAGTTTAGAATACAAATTTATTCAAACTATAATCAATACACAGATATAGATCTATGACATCAACAATCTGATCTCATAGATTGGTCTCAACGATTTGATCTCACAGAATGATTTAAATCAAGCTATCTGTAACAGAACTGCATTAAGTAGTAGGTAGATGGACAAAACCAAGTTTAGAATAGCTAAGGCTCCTGAAAAGACCGATTAGGGGTTTTAAAAATGCCTCATTTTGGAAGCAAAAAAAGTATGGCATAAAATAAATCTTAACAGTAACATAATACAAATGCAACACATAATATAGCTATGCATTCATACTTAGCATACTATAAACCAGTCTTTCAATTTATCTCTAAAACTATTAGCCTACATTAGCCAAGCCATTTCATTATAGTAATAAGATTTCTCTTTTTTGTACTTTGTGTTCATTTTATGAGTCACTCATCAAGGTTTTCCATGCAAACACCACAAAGGAAAGTTCCCTCTCACCCTGCCTCCCCCTAATCTGAAAATGTCCAATCAGGTGCCTGCATATTGTTTAGGAAACAGGTGTCCTGTTCCCAGCTCTGCATCTTATTATTTGACCTTGGCTGGCTGTAGCTTCTCACATGGCTCAGCTGGGTTTCCATCCTCCCCCTCTTCCCAATCTCCCCCCCTCCCCCCAACTGACAGCTCATGGAGCTTGGATAGGTGAGATGCAGCCATGACAGCCAAGATTTGGATGCAGAAGTTTTCTACTATGACAAAAGATCATCCAGACTATATTTTTATTATTTCACATTGCATTTTTATATGCAAAACTTATATAAACATACCTTTCTGAAGAAGTCTGGAACAAGCATCCAGGAGAGCACCTGCAATGACCACAACAGATGTAGTGCCATCTCCAGCTTCAATATCTTGTGCTTTTGATAACTCCACCAACTACATGTTGTGAAATGTTGAAAGAAAAAATGTAAAATCCTCTGTAACACTACAAACAAAAAGCATACAATATGCAAATACACACATTTCTAGGCTCCATGTCAATGTACTACAGTAATTATTTTCTATAAGAAATATAACCATCATAGTATCTAGTGTAATTTGGCTTGACATAAATTTAAAAACTATGTATTACTTACCATTTTGGCTGCAGGATGAAGAACCTGCATCTGCTTCAGAATTGTTGCACCATCATTTGTAATTGTCACATCACCTTTACCATCTTGAATCTACAAAATCACAATCAAGTTTTTGGACACCAACTCAAAAAAGAGAAAATCTACAAACAGAATACAAGTTGAAGCATCAATTTATATTATGTATTGAAAAGTACAAACCATTGGTTCAATGTAGCAAACTACTATTTAGCCTAGGGCTAGAAATATTTTCAGTAATGTTCACAGGCACTACTGCATCCAAGGAAATTTCAAGAGCATGAAACCTCATAATTTACCTAACTTAGAATATTTTAGCTAAATTAATTTTAATAATTTCAGTATTAGATTCAACAGACACCAATGAATGGCGCCACTCTGATAATTTAGTCTTTGCTGTTTTCAGTACCCATTCTTTATTAAGCTTTCCCTATCTCATAGATTCTCCTCCTGCCACTTCCTGATTGTTCAACTTGTTAAATTAGCTGGGCAGCTTGACACTGCCCTCTACACTTGTCTCCCATATACTTTCTTATGCTTGTCTTATCATTCATTTCTTGATTGGCAAAGTGTACAAAACTGATGTACTTGAGTTTGAAGGTAAGTACAATCCTTTCATTTTATTTAACGTAAAAATTATCTGCCAAAGATGAATTGGCAGTTCTTTTTATAAATACGGTACATGTCAAACAAAACTTATTTCTATCCCTTCGTTTCTCACGATGCTCCCTTTTAACTTTTTAAGGCACATGTAATTACATTAACTAGAATAGCTGCACAAAATCTTATTTTACTATGATATTCTAAGCCCTTCCCTTTATTACTTCTGAAAACATATAAATATTCAGCATCTTCATATCAGCTTTCAATGGATCTATACATGGGAATTCAATTACTATCAAGCCTCTGCAAAGTATTTGAAAGTACACTACCATAAGTGTAAAGAGAATATCAATAAAAGCTGAAGAAAATATCAATAAAAGCTGCATCTTCAGGAAAATTTGACATGGCTGTATCAAAGGATTCCTCTGAGCGTCTGCACATGCAGAATTGCTTAGTTTTTGGTCCAGCAGAAATGCTGTCTTTGAATGCATTTGAAGCCTGGTGGCTCAGCAGACTTTAACACCAGCTGTCTGCAATTACTGTAAGTTCAAATCTCACCAGGCTCAAGGTTGACTCAGCCTTCCATCCTTTCTAAGGTAGGTAAATTGAGGACCCAGTTTGTGGGGGCAATAAGCTGACTTTGTATAAATATACAAAAGTATGAAGGCTATTGCTTAACACATTGTATGCCGCCCTGAGTCTCCGGAGAAGCACGGCATATAAATCAAATTTTTTAAAAAAAGACAATTGGTAAAAGCCTTTGAAATAGTTCATCAAGTCTTAGTTAATTTACTAATTCCAGAATATTTTGATTCTGCTAATGCATTCTGCAAAACATCTTTCAAATGCTTTGCACAGCCTTATTGTAAGCACAAACTACACACACACAAACATATACACAAACCCCAAGCTCAAAACTCACCATTTTATCCATTCCCTTTGGCCCAAGACTTGTCCTGACAGCATCCGCAACCGCTAAAATAGAGATGAAAATAAATGTTATATATCCAAAGTTTACTTCAAGTGTCATTTCATTTATTGGATTTGTTATGGCTACCCACTCCAAGACATTGGGTAGCCACAAATAATATAATAAATTTAAATGCTTTAGGATGTTTAAAATATCAGTTTCCACAAAAATACAATAAACTGATTCATATCATTAAGCCATTGCTTGTTTAATTATGGTTTGCTAAATAAATTCCAATTTCTTTAGTTCACATCACAAGGGCCAAAAATGAAAAATCACAATATGCATGCCAAATTTTCAAAGTATAATAACCCATAAAATATTTGAAAGTGGCTTGTATACTGATTGCATGTACCAGCTTTCCTAGCTTATTCATGTAGCATGTAGCAAACTAAAGTGGAACAAATCCTGCTTTTGTATAATGCATGGACTCAATAACTATGTATAGAAAGCAAACCAATACAGCATGAAAAATAGCAACAATAATCGTAAAATGTTATTTTGTAATGCTGTCTTATAATATTACATTAATTATATATTAATTATATTTTGGATAGTGAGAAAGCACCATTTAAATTAATTTTACATTAAATTACTTAAAAACGAATGTTATCTGACAATAACATGCAACTCATATTCAACGTGAACACTAAAGTAACGGAAGTCTGTTTAAAGGATCATCCTCCCCATATGAATTTGCTTTTGATCTTTAGTTTTATTTTTCCCATCTGACATCACCTGTGGTTCAGCATCACCCTGAGGAGGATCCAAGAATCTAACAAGCCACAGGCAATCCATCACTCTTCTGGAAGAATCCTCAGGTTTGTTCCCCCAAGCTTTTTCCCCTTACAGATGCTGACCTCAATCTTAACCTCTAATCAAAGCGATCACATTATGGTTTACTGGGCTGTGCAATCCGACCAAGGAAGATTTTCTTGTATAAAAGGTTTATCTTTTATTTCAAATCACACTGGAAACATTCAGTACAATGACACCCATTACACTTTCCAAAAGTGGAAAAATATTGGAAGGATAATAGAAATCGTTCCTTTACAATGCAATGTAAAATGCAAAGCATCTTCTTCCCTTTCATTTAAAAAATATACAGAAAAAATAACAGGGTTATAAACAGCAAATCTTTATACTGCTCGACCCTTTTGTATCTTCAACAAGACTCTGAAAGAGCTTCGGTTCATTCCAACAAAGGAAGCGGAGGGCCGAGGGTGTGGTCGGGCGTTTTTTTACGGACCGGGACCCCCTGCCCGAGCCCGCCAAATGTCAACGGAACGGTCCACTCATCCTCCCCGCCACCCCCTTCCTTATAGAGACAGTGGGATGTCCCACCCATCACCTTTCCCTGCAGAAATGTTGCTGAAGCGGATCTGAGCGGGCTTATCTTTATCCTGGTAACTGCGATTGCCGCCGGAGTTGCGGTTCCCTGTGGCCGCATTCAGAAAGGCCCCCTTTGTGCTTGCGTTCTCCGGCATGTCTGCGCCCGGATGCCCGCTCAGTCCTCCGATGGAGATGGATTCTTTTCCGCCGAGTCCTGGAACCTGCGCCACCAACGCTTCCCCAACGCCGACCCGAAGCTTCTAGAACGCGCGCGGCACCAGTTGGGAGAAGGGCCTTTCAACGGTCCCTCAGGCCGTCGCTGAGAATGACACTCATGTAGAGGGCTGTCTATGTAAGTGCCTGATTTTCAATAAACACAGAAAAGCGTGAACGTTTTTTCAAGTAGTGACCTCCGAGAAAGGAAAAATAGTTATACAACATATACCTATGTTTTCATCGAAAAATGCTAGACAAACTGGACTGTACAATATTTATACGTGCAAGGCATAAGCGCAAGGCATTACAGAGCCTGTAGTACAGTGGACTAAAGCACTGTTATTAACATCTGCTGCTTGCAATTACTGCAAGTTCAAATCTCTCCAAGGCTCAAGGTTGACTCAGCCTTCCATCCTTTCTAAGGTAGGTGAAATGAGGACCCAGTTTGTGGGGGCAATAAGCTGACTTTGTATAAATATACAAAAGTATGAAGGCTATTGCTTAACGCATTGTAAGCCGCCCTGAGTCTCCGGAGAAGGACGGCATATAAATTAAAGCAAAAAAAAAAAAGTCCCTCTAGGACATCTTTGTTGGCTGAGGAATTCTGGGAGTTGAAGTCCACAGGTCTTAAAGTTGACAAGGTTGGAGACCCCTGCTCTAGGAGGAGATAAGCACCTGTATGAATTTGATTAATGAGTAACGTCACGCAAGCGTGTTAAAAAGAAAAAAAAAACTCGCACGCTTCTAAGTCAGAAAAACATATGCCATTCAGTACACAAGGAACTCGGCTTTCCAAAAAGCCGTTACCAAAAGGGGGCGCAACTATCTCCAGGAAGAGCGATCGCCTTCCAAGGAAGAGTTTTTGTCCCCACCCGGCTCCCATCCCATAGTCTTTACATGTCTAATTGAGCCCCTTCAAACAAGATGGCCGCTTCCGCTGAGCATCCCTTGCCTGAGCCTGCCAAGCCCTTACTTGGGCTCCTCAATGGTATCGCTCAGGCCACCTTTTATGGCAACACAGAGATCACGGAGGAGCTACTGCGGGAGCAGCTTTACCCGGAAACGGCGTCGCAGGAATTTGGAGTTCTACTGGCTAAAATGAAAGGAATCGTCAAGGTAACGGAGGGCGGGGCTGGCAGGTTGGCCGGAGGGGAGCAGAGCGGTGCAAACCGGGGGGAGTGGGGGGGGAGGGGCGCGCGCAGCGAGGCTGGTCTGGCATCTGGGTACGAAATCGCACAGTAACGTCTTTTGCCAAGCCCGCGCTTTTCAGATGCACGCGAATTAAGCACGCTTTCCCTTTTATTTCGAAGTGGGGGCAAGAGATTGGACGAGCTGGTAGCCGGTGCTCACAGCAACTCGGATGCGGATGGGAGGCAGGATCGGGGTGGATTTTTTCCCCCCCAAATCCAGTACCACTTAGGCCAGGGGTCTCCAACTTTGGCAACTTTAAGACCTGTGGACTTCAACTCCCAGAATTCCTCAGCCAACAAAGCTGGCTGAGGAATTTTGGGAGTTGAAGTCCACAGGTCTTAAAGTTGCCAAAATTGGAGACCCCTGATTAGGGCACTTCTGTAAAGCGGTTCTGGTTGGGAATCCTGATAGCTGCAGCAACGCTTCTAGAGAGCGCAAGCTTAGGGGTGCCCACCCTGAAGAAAAGAATGTCTTTATATTTATTTGTTTATTTGTTTGTCAAGCATATATAACATAACTGATAAAAGTATAAACATGATTTGAATACATGAAAAGGATATGAGTAAGAAGGGACTTTAGGACAGGGACATTAGTTTATCTCAGTGTTTATTTCTCTTCCGGAAAGGGCAGCAAGGGGGGCGGGAATCCCTGAACTTCAATCCCTGTTATCCTCCAAATGCAGCCAGAGGAGTAGAGGTAGCTTTTCCTCCTCAGAGCAGCCGCCTCTTCTCACTTATCTGGGCTTATCTACAGTTTGCTCACTTGTCAAGGCCAGGCCTCCTCCTGCCATATTCAGAGAGGCCTTGCATGGTTTTTCCTTACTGAGGCTGGCTCAGATCTGATCAGGACTCTCTAAACACTCTTGCTCAAGGCGTGACCTGTCTGGATGAAATGCCATTTGCTCCATTTCACTCTCTTCTCCCCAAGGGCACTGTGTGTTGAAGTCATTTCTCCCTGCCGCAGGGAGGGAGAAGTGGCAGTTGTGTCCATGCATTGATCTCCCATTTTATTTATTTATTCATTCATTCATTCATTCATTTTGTCAACAAGTACACGGAAACAAGTATCAGTATAGACATAGCTTGTAACGTCTTTTTCTAACTCAAAGCTAGAATTTGAAATGCATGCAGTTTTTCTTGGAATTTGAAATATATTTTCTAAGTCAAGTTTCAACATTTTTTGCTTCAAAAATGTGCAGCGTTATTTTGAAAATGCACAAAGGGAATTTCTGATGGAAATTCAGTTTTGAATGAAGGTTCTTTTAGCCCTGAATAAAGTATTTTTCCAATTTTAGTGAGCTGTTTTCATCTTTTTAAAATAGTCTTGAGAAAAGGCTTTTTAAAAAAAACAAAATTAAATGCACATTTGGAGAGAGTTATAGGGGTTTCCTCAAGCATACTGTATGTAAAAAGTTTGTATCTTTTTTTCTGCCATCAATAGAAGGACTGCTATAAAAGCACTTACAACCACAATTGAGAATGGAACTTCTGTTGCTAAATGAGGTGGTTGTTAAATGAGCCTTGCCTTGATTTTATGACTTTTTTTGCTGTGGTCATTAAATGAATCTGGTTTACCCCAATGACTTTGCTTGTTAGAAGTCCGCTGTGAAGGTTTACAAAAGGCAATTAGGCTATAAATATTGCTTGATATTTATGGCATGACATGATAGTTTAAGGCCATGATGGCGAACCTATGGCATGAGTGCCACAGCTGGCACGCAGAGCCCTCTCTGTGGGAACGCGAGCCATCGGCCAGCTCATGTCCGCTGTGCATGTGCACACGCCTCCTGCCTGCCAGCTGATTTTCAGGATGCGCGGGGGGATGCATGTGTGGGGGGCAGGGGAAGCGGGGGGGAGCGGCGTGCATATTCCGGAAGAGCAGAAATGGGGCCATTTCCGGCCTCTGAAGGGGCCTCTGGAGCACAGGGAGACCGTTTTCGCCCTCCCGGAGGCTCGAATTAAGCCTCCGAAGCCTGGGGAGGGCGAAAAATGGGCCTATCGGAAGTTACGGAAGTCCGGAACTGGGCCCGTGGTGCAGGTTGCTAAAATTTTTGAATCCCACCCCTCGTGCATGCGTGGGAGGGAGTTCCATGCGCGGGAGGAGTGGGACGGTCATGCACATGCATGAGGTGTGTGCATTGCATTATGGGTGCCGGCACTCATGTGCACTGTCACGCATATACACACACGCTTTTGGCACCCAAAGAGAAAAAGGTTAGCCATCACTGGTTTAAGGTATAAATATATATATATATGTGTGTGTGTGTGTGTGTATAGTTAATATTTCGGGTTTCTTCCCGTGTAATTGTGGATATATCCCTAAAAGGGTAGAAGCGACGTTTCGACAGAATCCCATCTGCCATCATCAGGCTTATGCCAGTAGTCATTTTGCACTAACTGCCGTTGGTATTTCAAATCTGGTGCTGGTATTCTGGGATGGCTCCACCTTTTCATTCTGATTGGTTGGGAGTCCCAGTATGTGTTTATTGGCTTGGCTTCGGGTGTATGGTCGGTTTTTCTCCACTAGGTGGCAGGGCTTCATCTTTGTGGCTGGTTTGAATATGATTTGGTTGGGATTTTTTTGATTGTTTGGTCTATGTTTTATATATGGTGTTAAGATTCGTCTATCTATGAGAGCAGGTTTCCAAATAGTAGGCAGACGTGAAGTGTCATCCCGTTTATTCATGCAATATGGTCTTTTTTCTATTTCTATTGCTTCTCTTGATTATCCTGCCAGTGAGATGTTCTATTTTTGCAACTGTTTTTGTTTTATTAAAATTAATGTTGTGTCCTGTTGTATTTATATGTTGAACTAATAATGATGTGTGTTCTTGCTTTTGTATTGAGTTTTTGTGTTCCTCGATGCGCACACTCATTCTTCTGTTGGTCTGTCCAATGTCCAAGCCTTCATACTTTTGTTTATTTTATACAAAGTCAGCTTATTGCCCCCACAAACTGGGTCCTCAATTTATCTACCTTAGAAAGGATGGAAGGCTGAGTCAACCTTGAGCCTGGCAAGATTCGAACTTACTTTAATTGCAGACAGCTGGTGTTAAATTACAGTGCCTTGTCTACAGAGCTATCCAATATTTTTTTGTTCATTTTGGTTAAACACATTGTTGAAACACAGCCAGTGTAACTTTTAAATTAAGACATATTGTTAAATACATTGTGTGAATTGAGCCAACTGTTTGTAAGAAACCATGAATCAAGCTAGTATGTATCTCCTAAGACCGATTTGAAACCAAACACCTTCAAGGGATTTTCTTACCCTTTACATAATTGCAAAGAAAGCATAGATAATTTTATAGAATTATTTTGTTATTTTATAGGAAATATCAACAGAAATTCAGATCTTTTTGCTTAAACAAAAGGGACATGAAAATTAAAAACAAAATATACATAATTCACAAGACTTAAATACTTTGTTTCTGAATGTTGCAGTTCTTATGTAAATAGAAATATAGATCAGTTTCTAACTATTGTGGTGCCAAAATGGTTAAATGTGCATTGTGATGTCATGATGTAAGCTCCACTGTTTCATATTTGTATTGTAATGTTGTAACATAAATACCACCTATACATACTGTACTTGCATGCAACCTGGTTGCCTATATGTAAATAATAGATAATGCCTGTCACTTGAATTTGGAGCAAATCAGCTGATGGTATTTGTCCCTTTCCATAGAGGGTGAAGCTGTGCCTCTGAACATTGGAGTGCCCTTTATTCTTCTTTGGGTAAACAGAAAGAAGGTTATCCATGGAAATAGTAGTTTTCCTTTCCTACTTGATTGCTGGCTGTTTCATTGAATAAGTCAGCTTATTGACAAAATCATATTTAGGTAATGAGGACTTTATTCTAAATTTCAGAACAATATTTCATAAATAAAAGACCTATAAATTTATACTGAGTTTGAACACTTGCATGGTGTGATTCACTGTAAGTACTGTAAATCAGGGCTGTCAAACTTGTGGCCGGCGGGCCAGATGCATGATGTGCTGGCCATGCCCATGCCTGGTTTAGCGAAGGGGGGGAAGTCCCGATACGTCACGTGATACCTCCATGACGCTGCAAGTTTGACACCCCTCCTGTAGATTTTTTTTAACTTAAATAACTAGTATTTGAGATTATTTCACTTTCTTCCTCTAGATGGCAATGTAATAAACAATATCAGCTTTGGTGCAAAAATTACTGCATGGTTAATGTTGTCTTTCCAGTTCTCCTTTTCAAATCTGGTATTACTGACACTGCTGATACAGTGTGATTTAGCATATGACCTCTCTGCTAATAGCTGTAACAAATTAAATGATACAACAACCTTCTTTAAAATGCAAGAAATATCTTGTACAAGGTGTATTACCAGATTTTTTATCTTACACTTCGATCTTTTCAGTCACAAGACTGGTTTCAAAAAATGAAACACAGTTGTTAAAGGCTTGCTATTTGCACAATACCAAAAGCTTGGGGTTAAGAAAAGTCTTTGTTTCTGCAATATATCCAAATATAATTAATGAAGGATCCATATAATTGCAGTTAAGCACTGTTTGTGAGGCAAATAGAGTATAAAATAAATAATATATTATGTGGGCAAGACCAAAAATATGAAGTTAAACTATTTTGTAGACAAATTTTATGTTGTATATAATGAAAATTTTCTGAAAATATTTTAAATCAGATCTTACAGTACAACATTTAAGTTTGCAGATAATTGGCAATAATAGTGGCAATTATTATTCCTGCATATTTTTCCCGCACATCCTTACTATAAATAACAATCTACTTTGAAGATCTTATAAGAAGCAGTCATATGATACTAGTATAAAGGAGTCTATACAAATATCTTTAAGTTTATCAATACATATTCAAACACACACACGTATATACATACAGGAAATAAGGCATGAATCAAAAGAATGCATACATCT